CAAATAATTTTTTTGAGTTATTAAAGGTTCCTGGCCCAGATTCTACAGTATTTTAATAATATTTCCTTAGCAAATAACAGCAAATAACAAATAATAGCTACCTCATTTCACCTGTGAAAACGTTGGAAGTGATGCCCAAGTGATGCTGTGTAGCTACAGCCACGGCCCCGATGATGAGCCGTCCCGCGAGCTGCAGTGGCACGCTGAGGGGCCTAGTGGCTAAGAGCACCTGCTCTGCAGTCAGGCCGGCTGGATCTGCCTCCCGGGCCCTCCACTTACTGGCTGTGTACCAGGGCACGCTACTCAACCTCACTTCTCTCATCTGTAAAATGGGATTAATAATCCTTAGCTCCTCCTGTTGTGAATTTTAAATGAGATAATGTATGTAAAATACCTAGCACAATACCTGACCTATGTATGCATTCAGTGATGTGCAGTCATTTTATCATCATCGTGATAGCAAATGAAGTGTCACGCCCCCAGCTTCTACCAGGAATGTACCCAAGCTCTGCACATTGTTAGAGTTTTTTATTTGGAAGAAAAGCTAAAATGTAAATCACTACCAAATTTTAAATCAGAGCATGCTAGATATAATGATATTTAACATAACATGCTAGAAATGATGAAATAATAAGGAACTTTGAGAACTCAAATGCAGAGTTATAACTTAAGACATTTTTAGTAACAAATAGATTACAGGTGTTTATTGAAATAAGATTAGGTGTTCACAAAAAAAAACTTAGGGGCACTCCACAGCAGAAACTCTTAGACTCCTTGAGAGACTTCTGAAAACACCTGAAGGAAAGGCAGAACCTGTGGGAGACTTGGCAGGTATCAGAGAGTTCCTGCAAATACAGAAACAGAAACAAATAAATGGTGATTATTCCCACAGGAAGCTTAGAAGCATGCAAAGCACAAAGCAGAGCCAACAAAAATTCTTAAAAACCCTCAGAAGCGTGCTGAGGATACCTAAAATAAAACCAGAAGTCATGGAAGACGGGGCAGCTGTCAGTTCCCGTAAACACCGAAAGAACCGGAGGAACAGACATATGATGATGGTGTCCACGGAAGCTTAGGAACAGTTGAAAGCAGAATCCAGAGCAAGAAGAAAATCTAAGAATACTCAGGGGACTGCTGGGGATAACTGAAGAAAATGCAGACTCTGTGGAGGGAGATCAGACAAGCTTCAGAGAGCTTATGGAAACACCAACGCAAGCAGTACAACTAGGGAGCAAAAGCAACCAGAACTCCTTATCTCCCCAGTGGAAATGCAGAAAAGATGGAAACCTCACAGGTATCAAGAGATTGTTTAGGACACAAGGAAAAGGCAGAGCCAGTGTAAGACCCAGCAGCAAACTGGACCCAGAAGATAACACAATCAACAAGAAACCTAGGTCAGCTCCCCGGGAGAACTGTGAATCAGCCAAACTGACAGTTAACCACGAAACTTCTGAGCTCATGTGGAAATGACTGAACCCATAGAGGGCCCAACAGGCACTCGCAGACAAAACACTTAGAGAAAATGGAAGTCAAAGAGAAGACTTCACAGGTATCAAGAACCTCATGACAAACCCAAAGCAGAGATGTAACTCCACAGAAAGCCCTACAGGTAAGATGCAACTTAAGAAAATTCCTAAGGTAAATCCAGGAGAAGATCTGAAAGACATTACAATTACTTAGGGCAATTCCAAATTCTGAAAACTTATTTATAGGAAACCCTTAGTAAGAATTCAGATGTATCAGAGAAATTACAAGAAGAATCTAAAATTTCTGTTAAAAAAGATATGAAAAATACTATTTGAGAAAAAGTTGTAGAAAAATGCTAGAACACACACAGTGTACCCATTTTTCAATCAAAAGAATGTAGAAGGCTATACAAAAACAAAGAGTATCAAAAGAAAACCTGAAGCCAACAGTTGTCAATACTTCATTGAAGCCAACAAGAAAAAAAATGCAATCGAAGACTTTTTGGAACCCACTTATGGCAGAATACAAAAACAAAAAAAGAGAGAGAGCGATACACACATACACAACATTTGGAAGTTGACTATGGTGGATTTGGAGACATGTTTGATTCAATGAGCGGAATTAAGGATGGGCCAGGAAATCTCGGTCAAGAACATATCTCTTATAATCCATGTGAATATGAATCCAAAGCAAATGCCTCTGAAACTGAAGATGTGTGGCCAAAGAACATTTAAGAATCTAAACGTTTCCCTTGTCAAACAGATAATGTGCAAACAGAGATGAAGGTAAAGAAATATGAGCTTAATTTTCAAGAAAAACGGATTCGGGGAATGCCCCTACATTCCAGGCACAGATACAGAACTGACAAAGAACTAGAGTCTCAGTTGCTTACATCAACAGAAAAGATTCATATAAAGAAATATGAGAAGAATACAGTGAAGAACTTCCAAAAATACTTGGAAGCTAGAACTGTGAAACAAAAGACAAAAACTCTTACATCAGGGGAAGAAGTAAAACTGATACAAATCTACAGGAGTCTTATAGCTTGGCTGGTTCAACAAGCATTCTACACAGAGAAAGGTAACAAACTAATGAAGAGTTTGCAAGAAAAAAGTTAAATCTACAACCGAAGAGAAGATACTTTTAAGACCCAGGAAAATAATTAAAATTAATTTTGATCTGCTAATACCTTTGGTGAATACAGAAAAGAAAATTCACACATACCAATATAAATAGTAGTAAACCCAGAAGTTTCCAATTCTTTGTCTGATAGGACAAATATAACCAACAAAGAAGAAGAAGATAAAACTGTTCGCAGTTCCTCAGATAAAATCTTCACACAGTGGGGAGTCTTCATGATCACCTAATTACAGAAATTACAGAAATGTAAATTTACAGGAATTACAGAAATGTAAAGTTGGATCTACCTTCTAATCTACCCAGTACACAGAGACACCATGTGCAGAGGAAGCAGAAGACGAGCCCGTGCAGAAAAGCTGTAAGAATGCAACATTGGGAGCCTACAGAAGTCAGATGCAAGCAGAAAACAAAGGAAACACCTTGGAAAACACTTTTACCAAAAGAAGAAACTTTGTGTAAAAGGCCAAGCCAAAACCACAGTGATACTAAATCATAGCAAAGAGTAACTTAGAGTAGGAAGAGAGGTGTTTCGGAGGAGCTGAAGGGGAAGCAAGTGATGATATTTAGTTTGATGGCAAGCATAAATATCCTCACAGGGGTGTCCAACCTTTTGGTGCCTCTGGGCCACACTGGAAGAAGAATTGTCTTGGGCCCCACATTATACACACAAACACTAATGAAAACTGATGAGCAAAATACAAAAGGTTTTAGGTAAATTTATGATTTTGTGTTGGGCTGCATTCATAGCCATCCTGGGCTGCATGCAGCCTACAGGCCACGGGTTGGACCCCCCTGCTTACAGAAGAATTTTTGCCATAAAATTAAAAGTGAATTCTGTAAGTAAAATTTTAAAAAAAATTGGTTCTATGGCTAAAGTATACTCAAAGTATTGGTTTTATTTGACATTTAATTATTTGACGGGCAAAATAAAAAATAAAAATAAAAAAATCTTTTCAGCCCTATGGAAGAAAGAATGTCTTAAATTTGTTTGGAATTAGCTGATTACCAATTCATTTTTTGGTTGACAAAATACCTTCCCTTAGCCTATCAGTTATTAGCCTTTTGCTGATGGATGAGAGGAGAATGAAAAAGTCAATTGTAAACCAGTGAGGTTAGACATAAACTTGCCAAATACACTATTAACTGATTGGTTGTCTGCAACTTACACTTTTGGAGAGATGGTTAGTGCTGGGTTGTATAAAATAAAACTACTCAGTCCTGTTTCTCTCAATCTGGAAATCCAAATGAATTATGATTCATGAGATTTTTACAGAAGTCAATGAAAACTATTGTATAAATCTGAACACCATACTCACATTTATATCAGTTTCAGCTCTGAATTGTTTCTTTCATTAATTCCACTTGAGAGAATCTATATACATTTAGGACGTTACTTAGCATATTGCCTTTTAAACTGTTGAGGCCATTTCCTTAATATTCCCCTTGGCCTTTACAATTGAATCTTGTTTTCCTTACATAGTATAGTACACCTCATACCCTTTGGCATAATTGCCAATGAATGCCATTTTCCATGGTCGAAGCAGAGGCGATTAATGGCTTCTTAAAACTATCCTATCTCAGGAAGACACTTTCCCCTTGGTTATGATATTGAATGCCAGTAACAAATTGCTTTTAAGCAATGGATTGTGTGTGTGTGTGTACACACATTAGAAATATTTATATATATTAAATGATTTAGAATATCAATCATGTTTTCCCACATTCCAGATGGATTCTTACCATATCCAGGACCCTTATTTCCTTTCTCACGAGAGGTCAATGAAAATAAAATGCACTTGAAATGTTGTAGTCTGGGAATGACTTTGATAATCGAAAACCAGGAGCAAAGGCTTGGTTAGTATGAAGAACCTGGCATTCTCAGGTGGGTTTGGTTAAGATGTGCACGTATGTAGCAAGCAGCCTTGCAGAAATGACCATAGACCATCTACCTATCTATCCTCCACAGTATAATGTGTGTGTATGTAGAGGATAACTATTTTCTACATTAATAACTATTTTTTCCATTTCTATTTTCTACTGGTTCTATGTGATAAAATAACTTCCAGGTGAAATATGTAAAACTGAACACCAAGATATGGGCCTTTAGGGCTTTAAAAATGTTTCTATCCAGGTATTCGAGCACTGTGAACAGGTACATTCTGTGCATGTTAACATGTTATATGTATATTACATGACACAAGTTGGTAATATGCCAATAAAACTAGTTCGTGAGATTTTCTTCCTCCAGAATTATGCCTCAACAAGTTGTGTCCGGTAAATCAATGAACTGCATGAAAAAAACAAAGCAGTTATATTCATTTTTATTCAACTGAGAGATGGGAATAAAAGCTTGTGTGAGGTATGGGGGGATGTAAAACTTGTACTTTTAAAACTCAGGTGTTACATTATAGATATTCTGAATTTCTTAGGGAAAGAAACATTCCATAGTTCATATAGGAAAACAAACTTGGTCCATATTATAAGTGAATTTTTATAAGATCTTATAAAGTTCAGATGTTAGTAGCAACAACACATAGGATATCCTTTATATACTGGTACTCTGAATATTTGTGTTGATGTCTCAGATATGGGTGAACTTTAAAGTGTCTAAAATAGTGTTCTCTGAAAGGATAAATTATTTAAAAGAATATGACAACTTTCCAGTTTGAATGGTGGGTAGTACTGAGTCACATGTAACTAAAGTTAACAATATCTGAGAAACATAAATATATACAATTATTCAATATAATATTTCCTTAAATCATGTATCATTCTCAATTGATATAGTCTCAACTCCTGATGCTTTTGCCAATTCACAGCTAAATTGATTTTACATGACAAAAATACACATTTCATATTTTAATACACTACCATATAGTCACACATCTGATACAATTTGCACAGAGAAAGATTTTAATGTTTTTCTATTTTAATACACTTCAAATGGTATTAAGGACAGGGTCATTAGCTTTTAGAAATTTAGAGTAAACATCTTTTCCTATTACAATTGAGGCATTTTAAGATTTGTTAGAACTATCAGACTTTTTCAACCAGCTTTTTAAAATGTAAAGCAGTCAACTCATTTTCTTCTAAAACAAGTCAGGTATTTTAAGATTTCTCAGGATTGTCAGACTTTTTTCAATCCTAAGAACATTTTGGATACGTGGTGAGGTCCATGTACAATATGTAATCTTTCTTAGTGTTCATACTTATCCTTCTTCAAGCAGAGAAACCTCTTTTGTTTTCCTTCTTTTCCTTTCACGACAATCACAAACTGTATTATATAGTATACCAACTGTATACTGTATATAGACAATATGCATATGTACAAGAACATAATGCATTTTAATATCTTACCATTTGCTTAAAGGACATTTCATAGAATGGCAGAACTGATACAATGACACTTTTTTCTTAGGACAGGTTGACGGACTCCCTTTGTAGTACATTACTGCACAATTATGGCTTTAAGCAAAAGTTACAAGTCACAAGTTTTCATGTTTTGTATCATGTGAATGTATCCCAAATGAAAAATGGAGGCAAAATGCATGGCATCATGCTTCATGGTATGGCCTATATGCATTGATCACTGTGGATCACTGTGGTAAATGATACAAGTAAGACTTAGACAACATAATGTACAGTTATTATAAAAAGTTATATATTATGTCACAGTACTAAAAATAAAATTTATTCTTTTCAAATAGTGAAAATAAGATATCCTTCATGGTTTAGTCACATGTTTTCTCGTTCGATCACGCCTCTTTTTTCCCCCCATTGTAAGTGAAATAAGGTCCAATATTTTATTAAACAAAAATGAGAGTGTGGGCAATTTCCGGGCCGTTAAGGCATACAAAGGGTGGTGAGACAACAATCTTGTCGTTAACTGCAGAAATACCCTCCTGATACGTTCAATACATGGTCAAAATACAAAAATAAAAGACAAATATAAATATCTCCTCGGTTATTGAAAAATCAAAAGTCCAGCTGTACCTTATTACGAATACGGTCTTGGATAAACGTAATTCCTGTAATCTCGAATAGGTACAGCAGCTAACAGGACACGACGAGCATCCCCCACCAAATTGTGCGCCATCAGCTGTAGTAAATACGCTTGGCCAGGAAGACATGGAGGGGCTTCGGGAGTTGTTCTCCAGGGAGGCATTAGGTCAAACCCACGTGCTGCTTCCCCAGCCCCAGGCGCAGCAGTCTGCAGTCGCCGCTCCCCCGTGCTGCGCCCCTTCCCCCTCGCCCCTTCTCCCCGCGCACTGGCGGGCTCGCCGTTCTCTCCGATTCGGGACGCGGGCACTTCCGAGCGAACCCAGTCTGAGGGCGGGGACCGTCCTCCGAAGTTGCGCTCTGGGCTCGTCCCCTGCTGTCGCCAGGCCGCGCGAGCCTAACGTTTCCTCGAACCGAGTGAAACGTTGGGAAACTTAGGGGGGGAGGGGCGGGGAGAGCATGACCCCAACCCAGGCCCCGGCGATTGGGCGACTAGGTTGAGGTGGCAGGCGAGGTCTCGGGCGGTGGTTGGCGGCCACGGCCATCCCAGACGTGGCGCCCCACCCGCAGTCCCCAGCCCAGTTGTGTCCGCGTGGTCCTCGAGCGGTCCCGGGCGCTCAGACGAGCGGGAAGCGGCCCTCGCCGCCGTCGGGCTCCCCGGAGTCGCTCCCTCGAGGGCGGCCCAGCACTGACACGGGCAGCACGACTTCCCCGGGGCTGAGCTGCTGCAGCCGCATGGACTCCTCGTAGGTTGGCAGGTACTTGACCTCCTCGTAGCTGGGCAGTTGCAAGAAGGCCGGCGAGACTAACCGCAGCTCGTGCTCCGAAGCGCAGGAGGCGACCGAGAACCCGCCGCCTCCCCGGCCCCGACCACCACAGCCACTGTCCAGGAGCGAGTCCTGAGAGCCGGCGGCAGCCTCATCCCGCAGTAGCGCGGGCGAATCGTCGTCGTCGTCGTCGTCGGGCGGCCCGGCGGCCCCCGGCGTCCCCGCGTCTCCGGGCGTGCCGGGACGCGCCTGCCCAGGCCGCGCTTGCCCTCGCGGGTACCTGCGGGGGCTGGGGCAGATGATGCGCTGCAGGAAGTAGCCGATGGCGAAGAGTACGAGCAGGATGAGCAGCCCCGAGAGCTTGCGCACGAACCAGCCCACGTTGTCGAGAAAGGCGTGCAGCGGCAGCTTGCAGCAGCGCGCCGCCGTGGCGTTGGCCGCGTCGCAGCAGCGCTCTCGCTCGCCGCACGCCAGCTCCGCGCAGCCCCCGCCGCCCCGCGAGGGCGCCACCAACGCCAGCGCCAGCAGCAGCAACAGCGGCAGCAGTGGTGGCGGGGCCGGTGCCACCGACAGGCCCTCCGCCGTGATCCCAGTTCCCCACATGGCCGGCGCGGATGGTCGCTAAGGTCCGGGGCTGGGGATTGGGGAATCCGTCTGTCCGCGTGTCCGTCGGCCCCTCCCTGGGCGTTCCGCTCAGGTCCCGCGCGCCACCTCCCGCGCCTCCGCTACCTGCGGCCGGAGCAGTGCTCACTTGGCCACGCTTGGGCGGAAGGAGGAGCCGGAGGCGCGCGGAGGCTGCGGGAGGCGGCAGCTCTTTGCAGCCGGAGTAGCTTCCTGAGCTTCTGATCTTAACCCCGCTCTCCCGGCCGCCAGGGCCAGGCGCAGGCCATCCGGAGCCGCCCAAGATAGCAGGGGCAGCCAGCGCGGGGCTGCCGAGGGCATCGTGGCCCCGGCCCGCTGCGCTCTTCCAAGCCTCCCTTGTCACCCTCCAGGCCTGGAACGGTTAACGCTCGGCGCTCAGCCCTGGAGCACCCAGATCTTGATTAATTCAGCCGTCGCTCTCTTTCCCTCCAGACGGGCGGGGGCTTTTGCTCGCGTAGGTGTCTCAGTTTTAAGTGATTGGATTTCCCCAGGAATGTTATTTAAATTGACTTGCGACTGGGATTCGCTTACCCATCCTTTTTGTTATCTTTCTTATTAAAAATGGATGATGGCCATTAATGACTAGCGCAGCTCCAAAGCCTTCCCAGAGCTTGAGGGGAGTGTGGTGGAGCGTACCTCTGGATGGTTCTGCTTTCAGGCAGATCCAAGGGCTGGGAAATCGGCACCCCTAGGAGACCTCCTGGACTGATAAGAGAATTCCCCGGGGAGGCTCAGGTCACCGGTACCACAGAAGTATTCCCAGAGGTGTAGGGGAGCCCTCTGTCAAGGTGACCCGAGTTGACCAAGGAGAGGAGAGTGGGCGCATATTTCCCCAGCGGCTCAACCGACAACCCCACCCCACCACAACCCCCCCACCCCCAACCCCGGAGGCACCCAGCAGGGATTTGGCTCGGAGTAGAAGGAGGCCTCTTTTCCCGCGTAAATAACACACCTGTGAAATGTCAAAGGGGAGTTGTTAAGTGGTTGGCAACGTTCCTGACCATTGATCTGCGTCTGAGGGGTCTTTTTCAAGGTTATTCTTATTTGCAAAGTTTGCCTTTAAAGGGAATCTATCCTGCCACTGAGCACATGGGGCCCAGTACCTTTTCTTGAAGTCTCCACTCCCTGGGGAAGCCCCTTAGTGCTCAAGGAAGGAATGACAGTTACCGGGTCCCTGACCCACAGGCATATCTGCACGGTGGTGGCCTTAAGCATCCCCTTAGAGCCACGCCACAGTGCAGCCAGAATCTTACACTGTTATTCAGGCAGCCTGAGACAATCTTTTTAGGATTAGAATTTATTCTTTCCTCCATTCCCTTTAGGCACTAGGTCCCCTATAGAGAAACCAAATGGGAAATTCCACAGTCACTGAGAGAAAAAAAAGTAAAAAAGCAAAGGAAAAATATAGGCACAAGATTCAACTGTAGGTCCGATAAAAGCAAAGATTTCTCTTAGAGTAAGTCACACTGTATCTCTCTAATGGTCTTAAGGATCAAGGTTAGGGGTGGTGGTTTGATTTACACAGGTCATTGCCTTGCCTAAATGAAAACATTTAAAACATTTCTGTTGCTGGGAACCTTACTTTGCCTCACACCCAAAAATAATCCGTTCTCTTCATGGAGAAGCTCCTAAATATCTCGAACAAGATATTGTTCGGACTCCATGGGGAGCTCAGCCAGTGAGCACAGATCCTTCTTTCTGAGCTCCCAAAGCCACATTTCTGTGCCATGGTCTATTTCTCAGTAGGGAGGCTTGAAACTTACTGTGCAGTGCCTGATTAACATGAGGTTTCAAATTGTAGTAAGATAACAGGATGGGAGTGATTCATTTCAAAACAATGAAGATGGTGTTATTTTTTCGTGCACTCATCCTTTTGCTAAATTTACACTGAACATTTTCTATTGAAGGAGCTCTGCTAGATGCTCATCATCATAGGGAGAAAGGATTTTTCTGTCCCTAACACGGAGTAAACCCAGCCTTGCTCTCCCAGCTGCTACAAAATGGAGTCCAGGAGAGACTCCACAGGGACGGACAGACGGCGCTTTGCTCTCTGATCCTGACTTGTTTTTACTTTCCCAAAGGAGAAATAAAATTCATGAGTTTCAAACAATCCCAAGGATGAATGCAGTTCACAGCCTGAGATCAGCTTTAAGGATAAAGTTGAAAATATATGAAGACCTCTTTGGACCTTTATTATCTGACCCGTTCGGATTTCTGCTAGTAGTAGTAGGAGCAATGGCGAAATACCCGGGGAGTCGTAGGGTGGATGATACATAGGAGAAAATGCCCTACTTGTTGTTATTTTGAAATTACTAAACAGCATTTAAATTGTTTCATTTCCGTCTGCCTTTAAGGATTAGAATTTGTGGAATGTTAGGACATACGGTGACATAGATCTTACATAAAATAAAACCTTGGCAGAGTTACATATGAAAACAGAGAAAAGGATGCGGTCTTCAAAATAAGTATGGAATGGATTTTTATTTGATTTTTTTCTTTCCAAACTGATAGCCCCAAAGCATCATCCATTAAAGGCCCGCAACAGAAAGTGGCGCCTCTTTATTTCTTCTCTGATCTCTCAGCCTCACTTAATTCATTTTTATTTGCAGTGTAACTTATTGTGTACACTCTTTTGAAGGAAGGAAAAGAAACCTTATAGCTTTAAAAGCCCCAGAAAAGACATGATCTTCATTACTCAGCATTCTTATTCTTTATATTTGCTTAACACACAAATGGGGTGCACTTAGCTCCCAGAAAGTCACAAAGTCAAGCTATTTAGTGAGAAAGATGGAATTTAATTATATGTTGCATAGAATAATCGAAAGATAAGGAAGATCACAAGGTAACCTTATTTTTAAAAATTGGCAACAAATAGTGCTTAAATATGTGTGTACGAGAGAAAAAACAGATGGAAAGGAGATGGGGACTGACTTTTATCCAAAAAACATGGTGTCTTGGAGTATAGCTCAATAAAAAGTAGAAACATTAACTGGTTTATCTTGCTGCAGAGCTTGAATAATATTTTGTGAAAATTTTATCTTCCTCACGTATTTACACTCATATGAGTGAATGCCCAATTAGTCACACTCCTCAAATTTTTAGAACCGAAGAAAGCAAACCGAATGTAACGAAACTGTGCTTCTGGGAGCTGTCTAATGCTTGGAAAAGGCCCCGTGGCCCCCTCATGCAGCTGCCTGTTCTGTCACGTGGTACCTGGGCCAGGGGGAATTTCTCTCTGAAGTCGTGAGCTCGTGCCGTCAAGATTGGGAAGCATATCTCTGCTCTTTTCATGTCCCTTCTTCAGAATGTCTAAACGTGGGCAGTTGGGACCTTGTAAACAAAGCACCCAGTCCCTAAGAACCCCTCATATGGGGTGTGCAGCATATTCCCTACTACTAACTTGGTGTTAAAATTGATTTATTAGCCTCTTCATTTTATGGTTTCCTTTCATTTGCAATATGTCCTCCTTGAGCAAAGGTAAATGAAAGGTTTTATTGCAAATAGCATATATTTCCATAAATGTGCCCACCTAGAAATGAATTGTGATCTGAAATCATCTGTTTTACAAGTTCTTTTCAGATTGTGTTTCTTTCCTCACTCATTTAATAAATATTTAACACGGGCCCGTGATGCGCACTCTGCTCTCTTCTGGGGATGCTGTGAAATCAGACCGTTCCCTGTCCTCAGGGGGCTTATTGGGGGTGGGGAGAGAGAAAAATGGACACTAAGCAGTCATATTCATGATTTCCAAACAATGATTATAAACCAGAAACTCGGAGTCCTCTGAGTTTTAACACAGGGTATGATTTGGACAGGGGTGTGATGGGGGTGTCAGCTGGAAAGACCCCCCTAAGGAAGTGCTGTGTAAGAAAGGACAAGGTGAAGAAGAACCTTCCGGGCAGAGGAAATTTCATGGAGACAAGTCCCTGAGGTAGGAAGACCCTTTGCACGTCATCTCTTATGTTTGGGGCAAAGCCTGTGTAATTTCTATTGCAACAGTTGAGATTCTCTCCTAGGTTCACTTTAGGTCGAGTCAAGCCATGCCTGCTGTTGCTTAATTTTAAACCCAGCCTGGTTCACTACAGGGGTCTGTCACAGATGGTGTGTTATAGTCACCTCTGCAGTCCCGCTGAATTCCCCCTTGGAGACCAGGGATGTTTCAGGAGGTTTCCTGTTCCTGCCCCCTCTACACCCCTAACTTGGAGTGGAGTTCGAATTTCCTTTCAGCACTGTGAGCTGGCAGCTTGCTGACCAAAGGCTTCTTTAAGCCAAACGCATGAACTAGAGGAAAGTTGAAGTGAGACAATTGGTTTGTGTCTTTCGTTCAAATTAGCTACAAAAGGAAATAGAACTCCTTCTCCCATGCTTGGAGTTAGAAACAAAAGGCGGAGTACTTTCAGGCTCCCACGAAAATAATATTTACATTTGTATCTGGACTTGTAGCTTTGCACAGCACTTACACATGTGTTGTTTTGTTTTCTCCCTACCTCATTCCTGTGAGATGAACTGAAGTTATTATCATTCCTTTCTCAAGTGGAAAAGTGGTTAAAACACCCAAGTCACAGAGCAAATTGGTGGCATTGCTGAAACTGGAATCCAACCAAGGATTGTGCATCTGAGTCTAGTTAGGAAGGGCGAGCATGCACCTCACTGGCTTGCTGGCCGGGGCTGGGCCCGAGGGACCCGGGGGAGGGCGGCGCTTGTCTTCCCTCCGACAACTTCTGATGCATTAAGAGGCCAATTATAAGTCAAATGTCTGAGAGTCAGGCTGGACTCTATTCTAGACCATGAATATGAGATTTTTCTGAGGGAATAAAGCTTATATTACTGTCACTTTGTGGTCACTTTCAGTAACCCATTAGTAATGGTTTATGTAATAATGTGACAGACCAACTATTTTTATATGCATTTCTGCAAACAAAAAATAAATTTTCCTCCTTCATTGCATTATATTCTTTATACATCAACTAAGCCATCTAATCTAATGCCAACCAATGGTACATGCTTGGGAAATAAGGATATAGTCGGCTCTGAAACACAGAGTTAATGTACAGTATTATTTATCAGTGACTTAGCCTTCTATATTTGTGTTGTTTATAACAATTTATCAGTTAGTTTCTCATGACACACTTTCTCTTTACTTCTGCAGGTATGAAAATAAAGCCATATATATTATGTGACATATTTAGTGAGGCCAAGAAGATCTGAAGTTAGAATTCCAGTTATATCAGTTGAGTGATTCTTTTTCTCACTCATGGTGTTTAAATGGTCAGATTGTTGAAGTTAGAATGTATTTGTCACTAGGCTGATATACCAGCCAAATGCTCACATTGGCAGAAAAATTATGTAGCATGAAATTATTTCGTAAGATGAAATAATTGT